TAGGGCTACGCCCGTACTACTACTACGACGACGACGACTACTACCACGACGACGACGGCAACGACGACGACTACTACTACTACTGCAATCCCGCGGATACAAGCCCGCTTACCTGCCGGGGGCCAACATCCACCAGTAAATCCGCCGAGCTTTCGGTCTCCATGCCTGCGGCCCTCAAGCCTTGCATCATGTCTGAAGATTCCTTGGTCCGTGACAGGTCCCCGTTGCTGCTGTTGTGGTAGGCCGTCGACTCGGCGTGACAGAAAGCCACAGCCAGACCGAGATCTCAGGCTCCACGAGCTGCACGGCCCTGGTTGGCCTCTCAGGGTGCCGGCCCATTCCGAGCTTGCACGCCGGACCGGCCGGACCCAGACCCAGGCAGATTCTCTTGCATCCCTCGCACAACTCAACTTTTCTAATGCTTTTGCAGCTTGGACAGTGGCGGTTTTGGGCTCAATTCCAGCTGGTGACAATGCTGCCGGCTTTGCACGTCACCAATGTGCCTGTTGTTTGCTGCTTGGCTCAATGGACGCGCGACACCCTCCGCCTGACATCTCTTTGTCGTCGGCCAAGGACGATTCCATCAACGAGGGCTTGCCTTCAAGATGGTCATGGGCTGCACAAGAGCGGCATTGCTCGTGATATTCCCGCTTGGGGCACAGGGTCATTGCGAGCCTGGAGCTTCAAAGCTAGGCTTCTAGCTGTCGGTTGGCGAGATTGTTCCAGCTGTTTAGAAATACGCCACCTTATCGCCAAGGAACATGTTGCTGTGCTGGCATGGTCCCTTCTGGATTCTGGCGGCCTGGCGAACTGCTGGGGCACACCTAGCAGACTTAGCAGACCATTCAGAATAGTCCGGGGTTAAAGCTGCTGAGACATAAGCGTGCGAGCATGTCTGTAGGATGACGGAATATGAGGAGGTGTGTGTTTTCTTTGGAGGTCTGGTTTGCGCTGACAGAGCCACTTGGAAGGGAATCAGTAGTCCCCTTTCGAATCAGCAGCACTCACAGCGGTGCATAGGTTCTGACGAAGTCCCTTTGCGACTTTCCCAGGCTCTCCAGCACAGCTTAGACATCGACCACTTGGATGACGAAGTTAGTACTTCCCCACCCGCTCAAGATCAAGATCCAGATGCCGAACTTTTGTTGCAAGAAGGCGTGCTAGAAGGATACATATGCCCTGGCACTTTGCTCAGAAGCAATGTAGCGGCAAGGGGGGAGGTGTTGGGGAGCTCATAGCTTCTGAACTGATGGCTTTCTCGGCTCAAGCCGCATCCTACATCTGATAACGGATGCCGCCGGCATCATTGACGCAATCCTTCTCTACTACCCGTGCCCGTAGCTTTGTCTCGTGGCGCATTCCATCCACAAGGTGCTTGCATGACACCGAGTACAGGAAATTTGTTGGACGTGTTGGCAGCGCTTCCAATCTCCATTTTGGCTTTCCTCGTGGCCCGCATCATCATGTATGGCCTCTCGGACGACATTGTCCACTACCTCAGAGCAGACCTCGTGGATGATGCCGCGACGTTTGTTGCTTGCTGCACTGGAGCGCTGGCGTGCTACAGGCCGTCTGCAACCGACGCGAATCACATCAAGTTGAGACTGCCATACTTAGCCCTGTGACCGCAGCGTTGGTGGATCTGCAAGAACATCACGGTGACGATGATGCGAAGTGCACAGCAGTGAGCGCCCCCCGTGTTCTTCGGCACATCACTCTCCGATGTTGAGAGCTTGTGTGCCCGGAGCTGTGCAGACGAGGGGACCCCAAAAAAGAGCGGAGTGTCCGGCCCCACGAGCAACTTTGTAAGTGCTGGTGATTGCATCGAGCGTCAGAGCCCAGGCCGAAGACAACCCGGAGCTGGCCGGTCGCTCAGAAGCGCAGCGTGGTGCGCTTTCGGGGATTCTGAGCAGCTCACCTGCAGGACCCGGCACAGGACACCAGTCATCAGAAGAAGAGCCCTCGCAGCAGATTCAAGGCGGACGGAGTGCAGGTTCCAGGATGTTCCAGGTATTCTCACATTGAAAAACCCTGTGCATACTCCTGTGCATTCATGCTTCTGCGCATGCTCCAGTCAACGGCAGCTTGGAGGGGAGTGACAGACTCCTACGAGTTCTGACTGCAGGAGTTCCGAGATCACCAAATTGCCACAGGCTTGTCCATCATGTTTTTGGGCATGGTCTTTTTGGCGGCTTGGCAAAACTTGGTTCACCATCCAGGTCTGTGTCAACGCGAATCGGATGAGGTAGTCGTAAGCTAAGCAGCTGAGCAGTAGGAGAAGCATGACAGTGATGGAGAGTGGGCTGCTGGCAAAGGTGGGTTTCGTGGCCTGGATGATTGCCTATCCTGACAAACAAGTGAAGCACTACTGTGCTTCCCGTCAGGAATTATGGAGCAGAATGTACAGTTACGGTGCATCGGGCAGGCCCAAGATGCGACGGAAGATAGCAGTTTGCAAGGGCTTGTTGTTTTTGCCTTGCGATTGAGTGGGCTCCCATCAAACTTGGGGAAATGCACGAATAGTTCACGCAGTGGTCACGATAAAGAAGCCGGGTTGTCGCCGATTGAGGTACGTATATGCAGCTCCACCGTGGCCCGGTCGAAGTGGTTGTGAGGAAAGCGCCCTCTAGGTCCCTGGGTGTTCGCCAGTTCAGGTGGCGAGGGACCTGAAGTTTTGATTGTTCGTCGTCTCGGAAGCGGGATGTGTAGTGCGTCAGATCTGCACATGTCCCCTACGTTGACAGTCTCTGGCGATTGCACAAGTCCAGATACAGAAAGGTTGTGATTTTCATGGCCATCGCCATTGATCATGCAGCGATCTTCTTCACCATCGTCGAGGCTCATCTGGCAAGGTGTGAGCAGAAGCACCACAGCAGCCCAATCATTCGCTCGGCCCTACTAGATCTACTAGGGCCGTTGAGAAGGCTTCGATGCATACTCAGGATGCTCTCACTGGCCTCAAGGGGTGGAAGCTGGCCGTGGCACCCTTCTTCCTCTATTGGAACCTTGCTTAGCATTGACCTGCGTGAGCAAGCCTCCGATGAAATCTTCAGTCTGCTGCTTTTCGCTTTCGTTTTGACCGGACCCTGTCAGCGCCCCAGAGCACTCGGAAGAACTCTTAACAGGAGAGTTCAAAAAGAGCCAGCAAGGCCGTTCCGTGCGTGAGCCGGCAACCCAAAACGGCTGCAACAGAACCGGGCAATCTCCGGCACACCTGCAAGAAATTGATCCACAGCTGCTGCCCGCGTGAAGATGTCATATCACAGTGCCCATGTGCTACTCAGTACATGCTCTGGGCTGTCCATTCAGGATGTTGACGATACTTGTGACTTGTCTTGTCAAATCCGTAAAGCACTGCAATCAAGAAGATCTGTATCGCAGCTTTGCGTTTTCGACAGTACATGACTGACTCAGCATAAGGTCAGCTACCTGGTTTCTTGGCTTCATATTTCCATATACGGTAGATGTACCAGAGGGATCCGCAGTGTTCTGCACGCTGCGATTGCAAAATGCCTGCGATTCCAGGTGCGAAGTCAGCCCTTGAACATGGCAGCTGCCGCTTGTCTTCTTGGCACCTTTTTGCGACAGAAGCTCCGAAGGCCATCGATTCGTGGCCAGTGGGCCCAGGCGAGTTGTGTCACTTGTGCCGTGTGACATGCGGGACCTTGAGGGCAAGAAGCAAAAGTCTGAAGTCGAAAGTCGCCGTGAAAGAAAGCTTCCACTCAGGCCAGGAATGTCATTTCCCACGTCTCTGCCTTCGTGGCCATTACAGGCTTTTCTGACATCCTGTGGCTGGGTTGCATTGGCTGTCATGTCCTGTGGTTACACTTGAGTGAGCCTGCTTGGCACTTTGTGACCAGGTACAAGTTCACCTCCAGCAAGGAATTCCCAAAGCAGCAGGCCTGCTTCGGAGTTTGGATGTCTCGTCGATGTCTACAGCAGAGCAGGGTTCGCGGAGTGTGCGCGGGAACCCCGACCGTTTGTGTCTCCGCCGATCTCCACCGCACGTGCAGGCTATTCCATGCAGTGTCTCGGCCATATCGGCATGAGCTTGCTTCTTCTTGGTTGCTGACGCAAATGGGGCAAACTGCAGAACCTGGTGGCATGCGGCTGTTTGTGGTCAGTCTGAAAGAGCCTCCGACACTCTTGCACAGGAGCCGGAGTGTGGCTAGCTATTTGCATCGGCTTCTGTTGCTTGGTCATCTGATGGCGAGGGGGAGGGAGGGAGAGAGAGGGAGGGAGATCTGCGCTGAATCATACACCCGAATGCGACCGAGGGAGCCTTCGGCAGCTGTCTTCCGCACTTCTGCGCAGGCAGGATGTTTCGCTGGATGCCTGGTTTGCCGCATGCTCGACCCCTGAATTTGTTCACAGTGATTGCAAAACTCGGCGACTGCCAGGCTGCCGTACGGCTGAACCTTGTCTTGACAGTGCAAGGGCAACGCAAGAGGCAAGCAGGAAGAGAGCCTGTGCTCCGAGGCGAGCTGCCCGTCGAAGGACACAGTGACGGACACGCCTCTCGGCCGAGCTGGAGGTCGCTAAGTCGCTAAATCACGCTCCTTCAAGATCCCGGAAGCTCAGCCCGAGGGCGCGGGCGGCGCTTCCGGCGCAGGCGCCCCTTCCTTGGGCTTGGCGTCTCGTGACCCGGCAGTCGAGCCTCGAAGGCTTCAAGCCTGCAAAGTCTCCCAGTGGACCGCAGGGCACGGTCACGACGAAGACGGAGATGGCGAGGACACGCCTGAGAGCGTGGCTTTGCTCAACCCGCTCCTGCCCTGAGCCCAGAAAGAATGAGGAAGGACATGAGTTCAGCTTTCAAAGGTTCACCTCTTCATCGAAGAAGTGGAGGAAGCCCTGGAGGAAGCAAGCCTCGTAGCTCTCAGTTGCTGGGCATGTGCAGTCGCGAGGTAGGCTACTCAAGAGGTAAATGGGAAGAAATGTCGTGCAACCAATCGTGGACTTGCTCTGTGCAAGAGGTCTTGAGTCTAGCGATGACTAGATCTGCCGGTCGACGTTCAATAAAAGGCCTTTCCTGTGGATTCTCATGGGCAGAGGTTACCTGTTCGTGAAGTTCTTGGTGACGAAAACTCTCCTAGAAGTTTGGGACTTGCATCTTATCTGCAAAAGGGAGAGTCGATCCTCAGAAATAGATCGACGGCTCACGATCTAAAGCTTTGCCGGCCCTGTCAGGAAACATCTACAAAACACGTATGCATCCCGGCACAGACTGAGCTGCCCAGCCCTGCCACGCAATTGTGCATTTGAGAATGTGCAGGAGTTCCGGTGCATTAGTTAGTGATGGCACGAGTTCCAAAATCTGCTCAGGAGGCACGTGAAACTCATTGGAAGTTGAGTAACGACACCGTCATCGAGGTGCTGTTGGTCATGGCTTCCTGGCACAACAGCATGGGGTTCCTTGCAGTCATCCCGTTCACAGCCTCATGTTTCTTACTGCATGTGATTCGTCCGCAGAGCAGACATGCAACGATCATGATTCTCCACTCAGAGCATGACGGGATGGAAGGGTTTTTCCTTCTGCCCGGGGTTCCCAGATCGGTGTCGTCAGTGTCTCAGGCTCTTGAGGTACTCTTCTTGAATGTGTGCATCATCTTTCTTGACCGCGTCAGCTCCGGAAGCTCTGCTGCATCTGCCGTACATTCGTTCCCCGGTGTCACGGTGTCAGCTGGAAAGGGGGGTCGCAATTAAGAAGGCTACTTGCAGCTACACAAGCATAGAGAAAGAGGGAGCGAGAGAGACAGGGTAGCTCAGAAAAATGTGAACGGCATCAACATAGAGAGAAACGCTTTTTTGTTATGGCTCCCCCGCCCCGCCTGGCCACAGGATAGGGCGGGCCGGAAGAGTGAAAATTGAGGAAACAAAAAGATCGAATCCGGTGAAGAGCCTCGTCAGGCCGGGCCAGGCACAGGCGGGGCTGGGCCGGGAAACAGTCAAAAAATAGATCCGGGGAAGGCTGTGGCCCCGGCTGTCCCCACGAATCGGTCGTAGCGTAGGCCAAACGCCAAAACATCACAGTGTCACAGGTCCATCGCAGATCAGTCACGGTCCGTGCGCCAACAAGACACAGATTCCTGCACCGCAAAATCCACAATCAGAAAAAGCGCAAAACATCACACGCAAATCTGAGAAAGCACACGAGTTCCCGTACCGCAGAATCGGCAATCACAATAAAGCACGGATTCCAAACAACACACGCACACACAAAACACGAGAAGCGTGGCACCAGAGGTATTCACACTTCTCCGACGGAATGAGATTCCAAAAACAGGAGAGCAAAGCGCGCTCAAACAGTAGCCGAACTCGAGGAGCGTGCCTCATCTCCACGTTGTCTTCCAATCCCAGACGAAGCCCTGGGTAGAATCCATGCCCCTTCCGTAAAAAAGGTTTCCTGTCTTGCACCCGAGGATGAATGCTGTAAATTCTGTGTGTTCTGTGTCGACGGGTGTTCTGCAACACCTCTACTCCAATGACATTCCGCGCTTTTGACTGTTGGAAGCCTCTCTTTAAGGCTCCAAGGGAGCCGATCTCAGACTTGAACTCCGCAAGATGGTCCCGTAGTCGGTGCAATCAGGATACTTGCGTTCACAACTGTTCCCAGGAAAAAGCTATTCAGATTCGCACCGACACAGTTTCTGCCTTTGCTGTTCCCTCTAGGTTTCGCACGGAGATAGAGCACACAATAATCGAATATTACACGTTCGGTGTCAGCCGCCGTGCTTGCAGTCTGCTTCGATAGCTTTCACCTCCATATTGCTTGTGTGTGGGGTTTACTCATGTGAATAGAAAGCTAGTAGTAAGATTTCGAAAGAGTACCTGGCAGGCTTGCACCGCTTTCACACTCTCGCGACATTCCTGTCGATGTGCCACTTGGCATTGTCCAAGGCTGCCCGAAGAGCTGCCTTTTCATCAGAGTTGCCCCTTCTGAGTCTGAGTGTGCTTGAGGCATGGCCTGGTCTTCCATGCGGTTCGTCCGCTGCGTGATCATGATACCCATCTCGGAAGATCTTTGTCAGGAAACAGTGCTCCTCTGGCTTGGGACGTTTGCACGTTAAGGGTCTGCATTGCATTGGGGCAAGCATGTGTGTGCTTCACTTACAGCTTATACTTCAATTCACATGGCGACAACTTGCTTTTCTTGACGACGAAGCCCAACTACAACAAGACAAGGGCTTGGAAGTTGGGAGGTCTCGACTGAGGACGTCTAGCTGAGTTTAGCTTTGATTGCGCTTGGGCCACGAGCGGCAGAAGGCTGGCTGACACGATCAGAGTGCTTCTCAGTGCTGGGAAACCATTCATCAGTTGCTAGCTTGTTTCTTTGAGTTCTGGCTTCGCCCAGGTCGGGCAGCTAATGTGTCAAAAGGTTATTAAACTGCAGACCAGTAGCTGAGTAGGGTGTCAAAACTTGTTTCGCGGCATGAGCTTGTGGTCCTTGATTGTCGCCTAGGACAACTGCATTCTAATTCTCACCGCGTTCGCCATGACGCCCATGGCAGGGCTGCAGCTCAGCCAGCATTTGTGTTCGTCTTGATGGCAGTGGCGGCGAAGCGGATTGGAGCAGCTGAGGTTGGTGATTGCTGCTGACAAGATGGCAGACACAGGCGCAGTTGCACATGACCAGGTCGGGAGTTCAGAGACCGACTCCCTGCTCCAGGTGTCATATCGGAGCCTTTGGCAGACAGTTTGGTGACGTGCTGGCCTTGGAAAGGGCTTGCCGCAAAGACACTTTGCACCAATGGCCGCCAAGGAGCTATGGCTTTATGATCGGCTTCTCCTGGGAAAAGGCTTTCGCAAGTGCATCCAATCTACTGCTCCCTGATGCAAAACCAGCGGGTGATCAGTGCATACCTGGATCAGTGGGATGCCGGGATGCTCAGACAAGGATTGGAGAATACGTGGAAGGCGGCAGCAGCGGGCTTACGGCAATAAGAGCTCGGTTCTCTGCAGAATCCATGCTGCAGCGAGCTGCATCCGCGCATTCATATTGCGAGACGTGCCGTAGTGTTTGAGTTACTTCTGCGTCACGTTACTCGAGCTTGATTGTATGCAACATCTTCTAGACGGTTTCCATGTATTGTCAATTGTCGACAGTCGGTGAGCAGGCCACTCGGCATGAATCGTCATGTTCGAACACGCTGCCTTGCATGGGCAACTGAAAAGACATGGATTGTGCATTGTAGCAAACACAATAACCCCCCCCCCCCGGTCTCTTGGAATCACGACACAACCCCGCGGGCGACCAGCTCAACAAGTGTAGGATGAAGGCTTGGGCGGGAGCTTTCGGAAGATGGGGCAGGCCCAAGCTGCCGATGCTCCCGCAAGGGCACATCAGCCACGCACTGCGAAATTCAAGCCTTTGCTCTGGGGCCACCGCTGAAGGTTCCACCATGAGGCCGCACGGCCCATACGAGTTCTGGACCGGCATTGCCGTGTGTGCAGCTCTCGCCACTGGATTTGCAATAGCACTGCCAGAGAGTGATGATGTGTGGGCTGGCGCAGTACATGTGAGAACTGTGTTGCACGCGCTGCTTCCGGCACATCGCATTTCCCATGCCACGCAAGTAGCTGCATGGCTAAGGTCGTTGTCATGCTGCCCGGATGGCGGTTCCTTATCCTCCCCAATGCGCTGAAACCGCTTCCTCCCCGAATGGAGCTCGGGAAAGAGAGCTGAGATGTCTGGCTAGTGGCCAGCTTCTTGTTTGCTTCTGTCTTCACGGCCTCGGAGGTAGGGAGGAATGCAACAAATTGAACAGGTGCCAACATTCGTAGAATACGAACGAGGCCATCTCAGAAGTACCGGCGTCCTGTAGCAGGTACAGTGCAGGCAATTAGCTTGATCGCAGATGTGCAAGAGAGCCACGTGCCTGGATGACATACATTCGTGCAAAATCGTTCGTCTCAGCCGTCCAGACCTCCAGTTCCGATGTGGTTGTGAATGACCGTATGTGCTTTCAAGCCGGAGGCGCTCGCTTGTAGCCCGCCGTCATTTGGAAGGCCATGCCCTTGCGGCCCGTGCGAGCGGTATTGGTCAGCGCGCTGGCTGCCAGGCTCGCTGGCGGCAATTCCAGGTCCTGCAGCCAAGAAGGCAGTGAGGTCTCGACCTCAGCTTCGCTGCTTTTGCCCGTGCGGCTGGCTACTTGCAGCAGCCTCTTGCAGGACCCTGACAGTCAGGTGGACAAAAGCGCACGTCTCAGAAGCAGAAGCCAGGGATGACTATGGCGACACCATGCGACACCCAGTGTGAATCCTTGGGTGCTTCGGCCTCGAGGTTGTCCTCCTGCTCGTTGTGCAGTACCGATTGGTACCTCGCGTTGGCGCCTCAAAGCTGGAGATTCAATCTGACAGTCGGTGAGCCAGCTTCTCAGTGGCTCAGGTTTGCGCTGCTGTGCGGCCTCCCTAGAAACTCTGACAACGTTAGAGAAGGGACTCCATAGTGGGTTGAAGGTGCCTCAGTGCAGTGCACACAGCACTTGATGTTGCGACTATTGCCGCTGTAGTTTTGCAGAGACAGCAGGACCTCTGCAAGCCCATCTGCAGTAGTGCAACCTGCCCATGGTTCAATATAATCGAATCAATCCGCCACACTTGACGTTATCAAGCTGCGCACTGAAGGAGCGGAGCTGGGCACAAAGACCAAGAACTGAAATTTAGATTTGGCCAAAATTCCGCGAAGATCCCCGAAGTCATGGTCAGGGAGTCAGGGGTGATACGAGTATCACGCCGACTCGAACCTATCAAACCTCGCCTGGCATGTCCGAGTTGTGAGAGCGTAAATGTGACACAGTCGTTGTGAAACCTTGCCTGCCTAGGCGCCGTCTCTGGAGACATCTGTCCGCAAAGAAGCTCAAGCCCGACACCCAAGATTCTCTCATTTGCATGGCAGTGACTTGCTTTTTTCGACCTTTGCTGCACGGCCAAGGCTGCTTTCGGCTGATGAAATTTATTCTTTAAAGGCACGTGCAGCAGTGCATCCTGACATCACGTGGCACAGAGCTCGCGGGGCTTTTGCCAGGAAGCCTTGGAGGAAGGCCCTGTCCTTCAAAGCGATCTGGAGTTGGAGAGTGCAAAGATCCTGGAAGGAACCAAGGTCGGCCGTGCAGTTTGGCTTTCTGAATGTCAGCATAAGCCGTGGAAATCCTGTGCTCCGAGGTCCTGAACTCCTGGAAGGACCGCTTGGGCCCTTGCAGCCACCATCAGAAGGATGAACTCGGACTCCAGTCCAGGAGATCCAAGGAGCTGAGCCGCCCTTGACGGTGAGAACTCGGCCACCGCCTGACAAATCTGAAAGGCGAGAAGCCCAAAATGGTGATAAGAAGGAGGATCATGGAGGATCCATTTGGGTATCGTTTGGGGGCAAAGATGGGGTAGGGGGCAGAAGTGGCGTGCGAGGCGTGGCTGGATGTCTTCACGGCAATGGAAGCATTGGTGCCTCGTCAAGTTTCGGCACAGTCTTGCGTGTGCTGATGTCGGGATCGATAGAGTTTGGACCGTGTTTCAACGATTCCGATTCCCGAGTCTGGACTTGCCCGAAGAAGGGCTCTATAGTCGTCAATATTTGTTGATTTACACTCGGGAAGTTTGAGTTGTTTTGGCTCCTGTCGAAACAATAATTTTCTGTTTAGACAGGGGCCATGCAGAGCCTCAAACGGCCCGCGTGATTTACAATTGATGCAGAGGGAGGAGAATTTATCACCTCTGACCATCTCTGACCATGAATAGCTGTCGGCCGAGATGATGTAGACGAAAGTAGCATCTAGCGTCAAAGTGCGCAGGAAGCGCATCTGGGACATATCACTCGAAGTCCTACGAAGAGCTCAAGGCAGGGAGCGTTTTCGCTAAAGCATCCAATATGATCCAAAATCTGCAGCAGCCCTACAGCCCCTGCCAATTCTGTGCCATTTGAACACATCGATGGGGGACAGGTCCGCTGTTGATGTGGGGCTGGCAGTGAGCTTACCTACACAGTCGACGCACTCTTTCTGATTTGCTTTTCGCTCCCAGGTCGACCCTTGCCCTTCAAGCGCTGCACGACCCTCTCCTTGACATGTGGTCTGCGCCTGAGCCACCGACGGAATCGCGCGGATTCGTGTGGACAAAGTCCTGCGTGCCCTGCTCTACATAGTGCGTCTGCGGCACTCATGGTCCAGTGAAGCTTCACACGGTAAGGTCCAGGCGAGAGTTTGCCTTTTATCGGGCGGCCTTTGGGAAGCCTGAAGCTCAGTGAAGCTCCGAAGCTTAGCGAATCTTAGCGCGCTGATCGACGGCTTGGTTCCCGGCAAAGCTAAACTGTGCAGTGAGATGCAGCAGACAGCAGCCGCCATGCATCGGTCAAATGCCAGGCTCGAGGTCATCCCCAGCTGGACGGCTGTTGCATGGTCTTGCGCCCAGATCATGGAGGCATCCCCGCAGTACTGCCGGCTACGTCCCCGCTCTGGAGATCAGGTTCTCACAAAGCTTGGTTCGCCTGTTCGGGGCTGAGAACTGCGAGCAAGCAAGTTTTCAACTTACACACTGCCTAATCCAAAATCGAGCAGTGGAGCAGTCGATAGGTGTGCGCAAGAGGCAGGTTGACACACTGTGTGGGGGCAGCAAGCACTAATTACGTAAGCATGTTAACATCATGTTGGCAGCACTTGTTGCTGCAAGCGCCGGGCAGCGGCCGGGAGCGGGAAGGTATAGCATTTTTAGTGAAGCAGGGTGAAGTGGTGTGCCAGCCTAAACGAATGCTTGCACAGCCAATTGCACATATGCATACCACCCACTTCGTGTTGCCACGCTTTCATTGGGTTCTCGACTGGAACCTGCTTGAGCCTGGTATGTCGTTCGTACCGAGGTGGGGGAACCGCCGCTCCCGGGGTAGAGCGGAACTCAGCGACGTGATGGGTGTACAGCAGCAGCCCAAGCCATGAAATGCTGTCATGTCGGAGATTGAGGGAAAGCAAAGCTGCCGCTGTTGCCTGCTGCAGGTCGAGCTTGCAGGAAGCTCGTATCAATGCGATGGCGACTGCATTGAAGGCCGTGCTTTGGCACAGCCCTACTAGTATGTGCAACGAGCTCGCCCTTCGCAATGCAGGTTCTTGTGTGGAGCATTTACATTTGTGCTGTGCCCGGACCCCGGCCGCCGTCACTGCGATTTAACTTTCCCATGCCACTGCTACTCAAGGCTTTACCATGCTGGTGTACGGATTGGTCGATTGCTGCTGTGGGGCCCTATGGAATTGCAGTATTTTGCAGCACAACTGAATCGATGCTTTTGCTTTTTGCTTGCGACAGGATTCCGGGAACGACGGCAGTGGTGATCGGCCGGGGCACTCAGCCTTTAATGCCACCACTCCCCATGGATCCCCGCATCACCCACATACCCACATTGCCCCTGGGATCACGGATTAAACGATTAAACATTATCCCGTTGCCGACCATGCGCAGTGCTAACATGGTTGCATCTTCCTGGTGGCGATAGGGGAAGCCCGCCAATTCGCTCTACCGGTTCGAAATGTCGGTTGGGTCTTGCATGGCCTTGCGAACTGCCGAAATCATGTTGTTCGGCGGGCGCGGTGCTCTTGCCAAGGGTGGGTTGGCCGCGAGATCGTCGCCAACATGATTCTCGGCTTGTTGTAGTAGGTTGCATGCTGTCAACCACCTTCATCGACATATATACTCTTCGAGAAGATTTAGACAAACGCCTATGCTATGCACAATCTGCTACATGCGGACGCCGAGGATCAGTGGCGTTGTGCTACACTTGACACAGCCTTTTGCACAAGGTTGCGCAACTGATTCGTGCTTCTGAAAGTGTCATTGTGCATGCCCATATTTTCTTGCATGCATCCGCATACATCCTTGTTGCCCCAAGAATAGCGAGCGGTTTTCCTGAATTGTGCAGGCGATTGGGTGTGTTTGGATGGTACATCCATCGAGCCCTTGGCATGAGTTGGTTGGAGTGCCTCATGTTTCCGGAGGGCTCGGCCATGCTATCGATGGAATCGCCTGTGGCAGGACGGATGGGTCCAAGATGTGGGAAGTTTCTACACAAAGGTCCAGCCACTCGCAAAAGACAGTTGTTGTTTGCGTGACTGAAGGCTTGGACGCGTGCCAGGTGGTTCAGTGGGACAAGCGTCCCATCTATGTACCAAATTATAAGCTGATGCCCCTTGCCTCGATAACAGATGCTCGTCCCTGCCTGTCGAAGCTGTTACTTTTTGTTTCCAGCCAAGGTCCATGAATGTGCAGAACAACTCCCGAATGACACATCGCCGAATCAAGTACGACCTAAACCTCAGGCCAGGTTTGATGAGCGAGAGTCGAAACAGGCCAGGCCATGCACATGCACACCACCGTCTTGGGACAGACTCCGTGACATCCCGAACATCCCCCAGATCGTTCGCGACATGCAGGAGCTGCCGCAGTGCCACTGTCCGTTTTCGCTGCTGGCTCGTGCTATCCTGTCAGGAGATGATCAATGAGCACGAAGACATTGACAATATCCAGCACGGGACTTGCTAAGGCGGTTCAGCATGAGGCACAAAGACGTGAACATGCAGAGGCATCGCTTAGTACGTTGGCGGGGATTGGGCGAGTACTCTGCCAGGGCCTCTCTGAAACTGAGCTGAAGGCTAGTGCCACCACGTAAGATCCAAACTTGCCAGGCGACCATCTGGCTTTCTTGCTACACGAAGCCCAGCATCGAGGCAACATGCCGGAAGTTTGGATCTGCTAGTGCAGCAGCTTTGGCATGGCAGGGCATTCGACTGGCGTCTTACACTGCTATCCAGCAGTCCGTGCCGTCCCCGCTGAGACAGTCAGGGTGAGCTTTAACATCACTCCTGATCGATGGCACTGCATCTTAACCCATGCTGGGCACTGCGCTGGCACTCCAGGTTCTTGAGCGGTGTTCACAGATTGTCTACAAGTTGCAGACTCGGAGATTCTTCGCATAAACGGCTGCCTCCATTGTTCTTCTCCTTCTGCGAGGCATGATGCTGCTTTTGCCTCCATAACAGATCGCAGCTTGACTGCATTTGTGGAACCACACTACGTCTTGCACCAGTCGTATGCTAGGCAATCCCCAAGCTGGAGGCCAGGCACATGTGCGCTTGTACAGATTGAGAAGGAAGCAACCAGGAAGCACATCGATGCAGGCAGCAGGGCGGTGCCCTTTGGTCAGATATTCTCCGACAGCGCCTTATTTCCGAGTCATTAACGCCGCTGGAGTTGAGTGAGTCGAGTCTGCTGCGTAGAGATTCTCAGCTCGAGGAGCCTTTCAGCAGTGCTCGTGAATCGCAGCTCGAGTCCCGCGAGGAGGCCGCCAGAATGCACCCTTTTGGATGTAGGCTGTTTGGCATAGTTGAGGTATACATTCAATGTGTGTTGAAGCCTCACAGGCCCCACATAAGGCAAAATCCCAACATGTTGCCACAGCTTGTAGGTCTGGCTACCAGAAAAATCCACCACCCGTGTTGCTGAAGATATCGCCGCATGCCGCCTGTGACGTGGGACAGGTTTTGCGGCAGCGGGAGAAAGACATCAAGCAGAGTTGCCCTGAGTTCGTTGGTGCTTTCTTTCCGGGCCAAGCTAAGCCAGATTGGTTAGACGGTTTTTGGAATTGTAGAGACCTCACGTGTTGACGATAAGGCGCGAGAGAGAGCTGAGTCAGCAACAGGAGGCCTCTGCGATGCTGTCACAAAGATGTTTGAGATCGTTTCGAGTTTCGAGTTGGCTGCAGGAACAGGCCAAAGCCGCCAAAGATATTCAGTATGCAAAGGAGAAGCAGAAGCAGTTGCTGGATCAGGCACGCAGGGCGATGCAGGGTGTGCTGCGTGCAGCAGAAAGACTGGAAAGCAGACATGACTTGCAGGTAATCCAGAAAAGCATGGATGTGCGAACTGGCCAGGCCAGACGTTTCCAGTTGCAAGCAGTCCACACACTGGCGTCGCGAGGGTCCACAGCATGTGTCACACAGGCGCTGCCGGAAGATGTTGATCCGATGGCCCATGCCTTGCGTGGTGCAGGAGCTGACCCAACCCACATAAAGCTCGTGGTCAGGTCTATGGGGTCGCGGCACAGTGGGACAAGGCCGCTGAAGAGGAGATGCTGCTTGCTCAGATTACATGCGCTCGGGCATCATATGACATGGCAGGAACATTTTTTGTGGCATCCTCTAGGCTGAGACTAGCAGCTGTGCATGCGTTTGGGTAGAACAGGCTTGACCATTCGCCTGGCGACCACGACCGAGACGTGCCTGCCCAAGTGAAGTTGCCAACTTACGAGGGCCAGTTCGGTGCCTCCTCTCTGTTTGCATCCCAAGAGGCCGGTGGAGGGTTTTTGGGGAGAGGCCATGGTGGCCCTTAAACAAAGGCAGAAGTCATGCCTACGACTAGGACCTAGGACTTGCGAAGACAACTGAAGGTGCCGTGTGTTGCAATTTAAGCTTGAGACCCAGACAGGTCGTCGAAAGCAAGCACAAGGAACTAGCTGACGCAGAGGCAGAACTGCTAGACTTCGGCAGCTGTAGAATTCAGAAGCCGTGCCGATATGAATGGTGCTGGGCAATGCTTGACACGCGATGCAGATGCAACACGACGGCATGGAGGTCACATCCCGAGTGAAAGCCGAGCGACAAGCATGCTTTCCGTGTTCAAAGATCTGCAAGGCAGAAGGTGAGCACCGCACGCTCGCAGATGCGTTGGAGGCAGCAGAGGCGCGGAATCACGATAACATAGTCTCGGAGCTCGAGCATTGGGCGTTGCAGAAGTCTCAGGCTCTTGAATTTAGACAAGATTAATTAGGAGTTTCCTCCGCAGCCTGGCACATCCCAGTCTTTGTGACCACTGCCGCCTTACCGATATGCCTTGAGGTCTTGAGGATCACCGAAACATTCACGAATCGCAGTGGCCATGTTTTGTGAAGAGCCGCTGATGTGCTAGACATTGCCTTCATTATATTTCAGGGCAGCAACCCGTTCATCTCACTTCACCGAGCGACGTGGGCGAATCCTCGTACTTGGAACGTCAGTCGAGCGGTCAAAGTCTTACTCTGAAGACTGGCTCCGACAACTATGTGGTTCATGTGGGAGTCCAGTCACGATGCCTGAAGTGGAATAGTACATCTGAGTGCATTGGATACCTGGCGCGACGAGAGAACAGCTTAATTAAATGCTCCTGCTCAACTCCCAAGCCCACATGTCGTTCTCGAGCAGCAAGTTCCCAACATGTCAAGTACCAGCTGTGACGGGGACAGAACATGTGGTCATGTCATGGCGCGGGCACTAAGTAGTTCGTGTGCGGACGGACACAGCATGACCGGGCGGCACGCGTCGACAAAGCACTGGCCAAGCCGGATGCTGAACGAAACACCATATAGAATGCTTGAATGCCAACGGTATGAAACCATGAGGCATTGTCGCAAGTTTGAGGGCTTGAAAGGCACTGCGTTTTTTGACATCTGAAATTCCTTGGTGGTGGCGCGCGCTTCACATCACCAGGCCGCCTGTAACACATTGACGTGATCATGTTGCCTGCAGACTAACTACGGATGCAAACCAGAACGGACCGTTCCGAGTTTTTGCGCTCCGGGCACGCATCAGCAGAGACACACCATGCCCAGCTCTAGCTGTCTCGAGCTTGAGGTGCAACTCCGAGCTGTGGAGGTTCCGGATGTCGGGCAGATGTTATTTGCAGAACCCAGGGTGGTTAAGGGTGGGCATTGCCTCGAAGGAGGCGGCACAACAGAAGGACGAGCAGCAAGAAGAAGGTTGGGCACGCACTTATGTGCATTGCTCACATGTCGCTGTCAGAGATTCAGAGATTCGGGCGACCGGAACAAGCCTCGGGATCGACACAGAATGATGCGGATGTATCAATGATCGCATCTGCGGTTTGCCCGCAGGAGCCGCGGACCATGCCTCGGCCTCAGCTGTCCAGAGGCATGAAAACTGAAAGCAAGATAAGCAAAGCAACAGCACTCGACCTTAGAGCGAGCCGATTGGAAGCGAAGGGGGTTGCACCTGCACCACCTTAGGAAGAGGCGTGCGGAAAGAAAGCAAGAGAGAATGAGGGATTGCACCTTCTCTGGTTGGATTCTGCCCGTCGTCATCCCGCTTTGCTCAAGGCATCCACCAATGCAGCCCACTTTGCCGGAAAGTCCTTGCAATGCCCTGTTTAACGGTCTCGCACGAGACCGAACAGGTCGCAGAAGTGGAGCCTCTGCCGGAGCAGCACCTTGGGGAAGGAACGCGACAGAGGCAAGGACATCAATGAGGGCATCCACATTGGACCAAGAACAGAGGGGAGGGCGGCGCGAAAGCGACTTTGCTGTCGAGCTGTGCATGATTTGCCTGAGTAGCAAAAGAGACTAGCGACTAGACTGAGAGCCCAATCCACAAGCAGACTTATACAGTCTTTTGAGCTATTATATGAAGCTCTTTGACACACTGATAACAGGCGACCTTTGCTTTGCCGCGTAAGAAAATAGTGTAAATCCCAGCGCTTTTTTGTGGGAATGTGTATTCAACCCATGGTGACAACTCGGCAAAACGAGGGGCGAAGTGCCCTGTGTTGTCGTCGGTGCGCATTCCCACGATATCCCCCAGATTATCTATCGAACCCTGGACGGTGTATCCCTAAAGATCCCACCCGCAGCATATCAGCAGACTCTCCATCCTGGTAGCCGCAGACCGTCGCTGATGGCCTCCAGAAAATCCCACTAAGAAACCCTGGAGTGCGCATCCCCGAAGGATCCTGCCATCTCTGGAGTGCCCGGGGCTAAACCCAGATAGAGAGCTATTCCAGTTCCCGCAGCCAGGGTATCCCCGCAGAGTTTTACAGGAGGCCTGGAGTGCCCAAGTGCATACTCGGAGTGCCCGCGCCGCTGTTCGAAGTTAGCTCTTGTAGATCATACAAACATTTTGAAGACGTCGCGTGTAATTTCCGATATCCAGTAGAGTACAGCTCTGCGGACGATCGAGGCAGCTAACTCGCAGGTGGCAGGCTGCTACAGGCTTCCTGCTGACACCCCAACGCCAAGACTCCGAGACGGAGTCCGAGGACATGCCCGCGGCTCCGAAGGTCGGTGCAGCAAGACGGAGGCGGAGACGACGGGCAGTCCTCCATGACTCTGTCACCTCAAGAGTATAAGCCTTGTTGGCAAGTTCCACCGAGAGTGTCGTCGGATTTTTGATTGAAGATCTGTGGGTTGACTGATTTTCCAACATATCAAGCACAATCTTCGTCAAAGCATTTGCGACCATGCCCTTTGTCCACACATCTTGGCGTTTACTCAGCAGCGCACTGCTGGCCCCAAGGCTGCAGCTGCCGACGACGAACGTCCTGACCGAAGCCACGAGGCGGTGAAGAGCCTGTTGGGGTAGGATGCTGACAAGACTCCTTAGACAAAGCAATCATCCACCCGGAACGCACCTGTCCAATTCACGAGAGGATGATGCTGGTTCTCACGATGCAGCCAGGCCCATGAGACGGAAGAAGCCAAACAGGACCTTGCCGAGGTGCCTGTGCGACTGCAGTTTTCCTTAGATGAGACACGATGCCACATGGATGCTTGATGATGTTTGTCAGGCAGAGGCAATGCGGATACCTGTCAAAGAGATGGGAGACTGAAGGGTCGAGAACGCTTCTCAGTCTGAACAAACATCAAATGAAAGCATGCCTGGCGGCCTAAAGTACGGCCCAGAGGCTGCTCCCGCTGCGACTGGCAGTAGAGTCATAATGAGTGGTACAGGTGCCCTTGCTCCTAAGGTGCATTAATTCTGAGGCTCCATTTAAAGAGCCGCTAGGGATGCCTCTGCATGGAGCTCGTTTCTGCAATCAGACTGGCTCAGTGGGATTTCCCCCCACCAATCTCTGATGCCTCATGGGGCTGCAATGGCCTGCACGCGTCTGTGAACTGTCGGACCGAGGCCCAGACTTTAAGACTCTCCGGCTTCGTGATGGCTGGCAGAACTGAATTCAGCCATTTTCCATGCAGCCTAACGCGCCAGCAGGACGGCACAGGGCGTGGCGCGTGCCTATGTACAGCAGAACCAGCAGTATGCAAGCCCCAAACATTCGACCATACGTCCCGCTGCAGCTTCATTCGCCTTCAGCCTCCTGACCGTGACTCCGGCAGGAGCGAGCCAGATGGCGAAACTGGAACGAGGGTGGAACCGGCCATGAACCAAAGTGTAATTCTGGTGCGAGACTAGCACTAGGAGACGAGGCAGTGCCGTGCAGCTTGCGGCTTGAGGCGGCTATACGCAGCAGTTCTTCGACAGGCGCCAAAGACCTGCTGTGCCTTCAAGGGCCCTGAATCCCATGTGCAGGTACAAGAACTGTCGGGCCTTCGATCCAAAGCCGAAAGAGGATAAACGCCTGAAAGGGTGGCGAGCTCGGCTCAATCAGACCGAAGCCTGCAGAGTCTTATCGGCTTTGTATGCCCATGCTTTCCGATTTTGCAAGTCATCGCTGCCGAAGGTTTAACGTCCAAGACAAGAAAGTGTAGCCGTCTATGCCAGGACATGCGAAAAAAAGACAAGGAAAGCCCTCCCAGAACCTGCCGAGCCTTCCTGTGGCAAACCGCTATACAATCCAGCCAAATGTCGAATCGCCAAGCACAAAACGCGGCTGGAAGTTGTATGAGGCGTTTCGCACAGCTCCGGGGATTTGACATGGGACTAGACAGCAGTTTGTCAACTTGCTGTAACTTCTCAGTTGAGTGTGCCAACTGCACGAGACATGTCGAATGCGTCTCAGGTCTGTGGGTCCTGGCCCGGGCATGGAGTACATGGCACGCTGGACCGGCCTGGGCCTTCTACGAGTTTACGACTCCCCTTCTGTTCCCCCTTTCTTCCCCATTTTGTCGGGTGCGTTGGGCTTTGGGATCGTCTGAAACTTGGGGAAGCTGCTCTTCTGCGCGACACACTCGAGGCTCCAAGAACTCCTTCAACTGAGCAAAGCCATGGCAGACGCGTGATTGGGGGCGAGCCACTAGAGTTACCAGAGCCCATGGCATCATTGAAAAAGTATAGTGAACTTGGAAAGACCCCAGGGTCCATTTCGAGAAGTGCAAAGGGGTTCTCTTCGTGCCTCTCGTGTGAAGCACTCGCCAATCTCTCCTCCAAGATGGATAGATGGAGTCCTGAGTCTGCCTTCATTCCGTTCCTGCCAAGTCGCCCGAGACAGACAGTAAAAGGTGCTTTGAAGTCTGGTTGAGTGTTGAGTTTCGCAATGCTTGAGAATCAGAATTGCGCAGAGTGTGTGGACCAGCCCTGTCTACTTGTCGCACGCCGGCTTTTGATGTGACACCTCGACTATTGGTTGTGATGGTCGGTCTCCGAACATTACAGAGCACACCGTGGCCCAGTTTGGTGAGCAAATGCAGACTCTGTTGGACAGGTCTGAACTTCGCCAAAGCTTCGAATGCTGGTGCCTGGAAGTTTTCTGCCCGAATAACTTTGGGCGATGTTGCTTTTTGTGATGTTGGCTCGTTGCTAGCTTTAGCTTTAACAATGCATGTGATCCTCTAACCCCTGCTACGGGAAACGAGACAAGCTGTTAAGCCCATGCAGAGCGAAGGATAAAACGCAGAAGCTGATCCACATCCTGGAAGCCCTAAACAAAGACCGTGTCGTCAGCTTGGAGCTTTGAAAGCTGTAGAAGCCAAGAAGCGACTTGACCGATGAATTCCTTTGTGCCAAGAAGCGGCGGCCGAAGGTGCCCGTGTACCGCCGTACGCATCTTCTGAGCATCTACAACAGCAAAGGCAAATAGGCCTAGGCCCAGAATCCACGAGCCGTCCTCGCTATGGAGAAGCTCAGCAGCACTCAGCGCGTCGTGCATGGCTTTCCGCGCAATCAAGCTTGACTAAGCCTTCCCTCCTCAAGCACTCGAGATGTAAGGATTGTCGCCAAGTCCATCGCTTCGCCAGCAACAGCTCGTGTGCTGTTGACAGGGCTGGGGCTCCTAAGAAAATGGCTTTCGCTTCCTGTTTGGGAGGGACGCTTTGCCCAGGTTGAAGCTGTGCTGGCGGGTCCTGGCTCCAGAGGTACTATCGAGCTTAGTTCTCCCTTGGAGAACTGCGATTCTCTTGCTTCACAGGTGTTTCTGCGACAGCTGGCGGCACTAGCCGTACTGATCATTGCACGACACTCGTCGGATTCCCAGCCGGGAAGTTGTCGATGTGCCGTTCGCCTGCGCCGTCGCAATAAAGCTTAGCCAGGGAGGGAACGGTCTGCTAGGTGCCAAGAGTCTTACTTCGCCAAGCATGGTTTCGTAGCTCCCGCCAAGCATCAGGGTGCAAACTGTTTATTTGCCCCAGTTGTACACCACAAACCAGTGACCCAGGAACCAGGTTGCCCAAGGCTCTGCCTTCTGTTCGTCCACCAGTCCCCTGAGCACATCCAAGCCCACACCGTCTGCAGACACTCCCACCCCAATTGGCCCAAGTCCAGCAAGCTCACCTTTTGGCATCTTTTCACCAAAGCCGATCTGCCCAGCAACTCTGTCACGCGCTGTGTATGCAAGGCGAGTTTGAGATATCTTGCATGGGTTGGTCTCGGAGCGTCTGCCGATCTAAGTTTGTGTTTCAGGTGCTGTGGAAGATCCATATGCTTCATGTAAGAAGTTCCGACGAGGAAGCTGCTGTTCAAGATTCCACCAGGCTATGGCGAACACGCAGATGGCTTCGGGCTCTTTCTGCCAAGATTGCTCTTCCGAACAGTCGAAAGGCCATGCCACCTTGACAACCTGTTTCAGTCGCTGCAGCTCCACCAAAACGTCTTGGAAGGTCTACAAGGAAGAGCTGAAGCAAGCCAGGAGGCTGGCCTCCTCTGCTCCCGGTGTCGTCTGCGGCATCAAATTGCAAACACTAGTGAACTAGTGGCTAGCTTTGCAGGGGAAAGGGATAATTCGCTACACTATAGGTTGTGCAGAACAGATGAGGAAGTGTGCAGACTACAAGACCTTCCAAAGCTTGGGGGAGAAACTGGACAAAGCAGAAGGAAAGGACAAATGGAAGCGCCTTCGCCTCGGATCACACTCACATGAATTGCCAGAACCGCTGGACAACGCAGGTGAGGACAATTCCCCACTCTTCGATTCGCAGCACCTGCGTGGCTCTGGTTAGCTAATGTAGACGGACGCAGATGCAAGCGGGCAACACAACCAAGGAGAGCGAACGAAAAGGTACCGAGAAATGATGGCCGTGAGCCTAGTTCGGAAGTGATCAAGCGTCTCTCGGACCGCTTGACACCCCAGGCACGAGGCGACGTGGATGCTTGCATGTATGACCCTCGTCAGCATCAGGCTTCGAACATGTGTAGCCGTCGCCAGATATTTGAAGGTCAAAAAGATGTTGGGGCTCCATGGCACTAGGTCACTAGATACAATACTATTTTTCGTTTCGCCGAGGTCTTTGCCTTTGCATGTAAAGCAGTGGCAAAGAATCACACCTCAGTCCTAGCCCGATCATATCGAGGCTTTACGCGGAGAGCTTCTGAGGAAGCACTTCGGAATTTGCAATCCAGCACTCTTCCAGGCAAGATTGCCTGACCTGCACCTCAGTACCTACCCTGCCACCATCGGCACCGACGAGGTGTGCAACACCGGCACGAAAGTCGTCATAGAGGAGTACGTGGCAACGGTGTGTGAGGTCGGCAGCCCAACTGAGCATCTCATAATTGGCTGGACCTGACTCGCGACCAGTGCTTGCAGGCCATGGCATGGGTTGGATTTTCCTACAACTCCCCATCAACACGAACAGATTTGCAGACCAAGAAGGCTGGTTTGCAGACGGTGGTGCCCCAATGGCCCGGTAAGCCGCGAAGGATGCGATTCACGAGCGCTTGGCCTTCTTCAACGAGAGCAAAGCCTAGCAAAGTCTCGTTAGCGATCGTTAGTGTATTGACTTTTTTGTGTACTCATGCGCAATCAGGACCAAGCATGGCTTTGGTCGCAGTGCCCTTCTGCTCTCCGGCGGTGCATCGGTGGAAGCCTCAGTCTCACATTGTCGTGAGTGGACTCATGTGATAAGCTTGACGTTGGCAAGCAGGAATCAGGCAATTGGTTCGTTTGTTTGTTGATTCGATGCCGTGGTTCTTGCGCCTCATGGGACAGCTTCCCGTCACCCCACAGCCGTGGCCCAGTTCAAGTAGTTGCCTGGGACCCATGCAGCCTTGGCAGGTGGGCATGTACCATTTCGGAGTTGTGAAGGCGGGTCTCTCATACCTTAAGGTTGTGGCGAAGCCTGCAGCAAACTGCACAACAAGTCAACAAGGGGCATTGCACTCTTTCGATAGCTGTGCCGACATTTCCGTGGCTCGATTCCCTTCTGACCTTCTGACCTGTGGATCTCATGAAATGTCAGGTCCCCCACCCCTACACAACTGGGCCGTTGCTTTGCATTTGTTACGAGGCACTTTGCTTGTGGGCACTTGGCCTTCAGATCTGCCGACATCCTTTTGTGTTGATTTTGTTTGCCTGGGAGCTCTGTAATCAAAAAAGGTCGTCAGCATCAGATCTTTGCAGTTGCTGGTTTTCCGATGCTCGAAATGTTTGGAATGGGCCAACTGTGCACCGGAATGTCGGCCCTCCCTCTGACTTATCTTTGTCTCTGGGTTGCTTTCCTGTGTTGGATCCACGCGGTCCGGGAGGCGCTGCACCTCAACGGGCTGCTCCCGCGCGTCATGAGTGGGACTTCAGCCGGATCCATCGTGTCCGGCCCCGAGTTGTGCAGACCGAAAGGAGGCGATTACAAAAAAGGTCCGGGCATGTGGGCCATATGGGTCATGAATGTCGTAGGCTGCCCCTTAGCCGAAGCTCTGCGACGTAAAAGGAGGCAATCTCATTTCCAGTCGTGGGGCGAATTGAGTGGATGCCTTGACTTCACGGGCCGACAGGTGGTTGTCGTACCCATATCAGATGCAGCACGATTCTGTGGGGAATTGGGTTGGGCCTGTGTTGCAGGCGAACAGTGATACACATGGGATGACGCTACCTGTAGCAGCTAGCACTAGCCTCGTCCGTCTGGTTTTTATAAGAGGGTGCGTCGGAATACGGGCCTGGGTTATTCAGGAGTTCCATCATGTACTAATGAAGTAGCCCCATCTAGTACTATTTTTGGTGCCTAAGCTCTTTCAGCAATTTATCCCTCATAATATGCGAGGGATGCCACCCATCATTTCCGCCATGGCTCGGGTCATAGTTCCTGAGCGACTTGGTCTTTCACTTCCATTTCGTGTGAAATTTCGATTTTTGCCTCTTGCACATTTGGGTGTTGCAGATTCCGGTCACTCTCTGAAACAATGCGAGAACTAATGCATTGTTTGAAAAGCAAAAGCCGTCAACAACTTTATGAGCACATTGCACGATAATCTATGTATTCTGTTCATTATATATATATATATCTATATATATATATATACACACATCGTTATTTACATCTTTTTCGTTTCCCCCCCCCTCCCCCCCCCTCCCCCTGAGAT